GAGTTTCTGGAGTTGCCAATCACATCAGTTGGCCACAAACTCCCTTTTAAACCCTGCAACCCAAACTTATTTTAGACTTTTTTGGAGAAGGAGATCTTTCATGTACACGTTGTCCAGCAGCGGTTGAGTTTTATTATTTGATATCTATATACTCCCTCTGGCATTTAAAGGGATAGCTTTTTGAAGTGGGGTAGAATGAGGTACTGATACATGATCAGTGTATCACCTGCAGTAGATGGCAGTCGTCACGCCTCCAGTTTGGAGAAGCAGGCAGGAGTACCACCACCACCACAGAAGCTCAGCAATACACAGCTGTGGATGGGGGTTTGCAGCAAACATATTTTAGCCACCTGAAAATGGACTACCTAAAAAGAAATTAATATCAGTTTAAGTGTACGCTATATTTAGAATATTCTCTGTAGAAACTGGAGGCCCAGAGAGAGTAGAAGCTAACTGTGAACTGTAAATGCATGCTCACAGACCCAGAGAGCTGCTGCTGCCATTAGTGGGACTTTGTTAAAACAAAACATCAGGATCATTCTGAATCAGAGAATCCCAGCACTTCACACTTTGCCTGTTGTTTGGTAAGTTGTTACATTTATTTGAAGGTAGGTGTAATTTTTTCTGATTGTTGGGTACAGCAGTGCTCTTTAGCAAGTGTCTCTCTTGCTTATATGGCACTGGTTTTACAATCAGTTTGCTTTATTTCCCTTTCCTGTCTTTCTTTCTTTTCTTTTTTAGAACCCTGAATTTTTTTTGTTTCTTGGGGAAAGAAATAAGCAGCATAAGCAGTCACTCACTTGGCTGTAGCTGAGTTTAGAGATGAATCCTAGTGCAAGGGCAGACTAAATCGTTTTGCGCCTCTAAGGGGAGACGGACCTCCCAGAGAGCTTCCACTACTTTTTTTAAACAAGGTTCAGTCTTGCAACTGATTTATTCAGCCAGTTTAAATATACATATGGCACCATTTTTGCATGCGCCATCTTAGAAATCTTTACAAAAGTGAAGTTTCATTTCAGTCTGATCACAAACAACAGCTGACCTGCAGCGTAATACAGTGCCCGGCACAGTTGCACTTTTGAGTAGGAATATGGAAGTTGTAAGGTTGAGAAATATAGGAAAGGGCTGCCTGCCAGCAAGGTGAAAATTTCCTCAATATAGTGTCCACTTAAACTGATATTGATTGTTTTAGGTGGGCCTTTTTGTGGGTGGCTAAAATCCATTTTGTTGCTGCCCTCATCCACAGCAGTACATAGCTTAGCTTCTGGGGCAGTAGTCCTGCCTGCTTCTCCAAACTGGGGGTGCCAACTGCTATCTACTGTTGGTAACCCATTGACCATGGATCAGTACCTCACACAGTCCCACTGTCCCACACAAAAAATCCGATCCATCCCTTTAATATATAAAAAGATTTTTTCAGCCTGACGATGCATCTTGTCACATTTTTATACCACAGTATTTTGTGCTATTACACACATTATTATTATTACACCCTATACCAATGTGTCTTTTGTTTTCTCTGGATCTAATGGGTTCAAATGGTACCTTTCTGACTCAGAGCACCATGAATGAAATCAGCCGTCTCAGTGAAGAATGGGCTCAAGTCAAAGTCTTTACAGTCTGGTGCCTCTACTCCATGATACTGTATGTCGGTGTCTTTGTAGAAATGTGGCCCAGTGTCAATGTGCTGGGGGCCATCTGCAGCATTCACCACATGAGTTATTCCCAGATCCACTAACAGGGTTTTATGCTGAGCTGTAGCCCTGTGAACGACACAAGAGATGATACAACAAGTGTAGCCTTTAGCGGTTTCTCTCGCCTGTGGCCAGCTCTATGAGCGTATGTTTGCAAATGCATCACTGGTGACTCAAATGTACAGATTTTATATTTGTCCCATGAGCTGGCCAAATACAGGACTTGTTTGCAGCAACAGTTTCACAATCAGATCACCATATTGCAGCGGGGTCCCGAAGTGAGAATGTCACTTACGCTCCGATGTAGAGGTTGGGCCAAACCTCGTTGACAGCTCCAGTGGGGCGTCTGTTCTTCAGCAGAAGGCTGAGCAGATCGCAGGTGGGCGGTGTCTGATACTCTGGCTCCTCCTCTGGGCTCATGTCTGCATCTTTCACTCCAGTGTCGCTGTATAATTATCACAAAATATATTCAGCTCAACACTTAGATAACAGTTTGATACTTTTCCCAAAGACTTGATGTTCCTGGATGGAAGATTTGAGAAGTTGCTGCTGCTAGTTTTTCTTCTTCCTGTAGGCATTTGGAAAGGAAACAGGGTAAACTCTAACCTTATTCGTACAGCTCGCTCTGTTTGCCATCTGAGCTGAGTATCAGTGTTGTTTAGAGGCTGAGCCCCGCTGGAACGAGACAGCTGAAGATGCCAGAGTCTGGGGCAGGAGCAATGTGGACTATTTATTCCTCAGATGACTGTGACAGAAGCCAGGCTGCTTGTGTTGTGACAACTTTAACTACAGAATCACAGCAGTGATTACAGTTGTAATAGTGTTAGTGATGGAAAGCATGCTAAGGAAGCTGTAGTGATGAACAACACAGTTTTATTTGCACTTTTATCCCCATTTCTGTGCTGGACTATTAATTCACTGCCTTAATTCATTGGCACTTTTTGTCTTATACCTGTACTGGGCACTTTTAACAATTTTATTTGTTTTTAGGGACTGTCTTTGTTTCAGTGTTTGTTTTTACTGCAATTGTCTGTTTTCATACTAGTTTTATTGCTGAGGGGTTTTTTTTAGTGTTCAGCGTTTGTTTTCAGTGCTATTGTTCTGTTGTGATGATATTTATGTTTGTATTTTCCACCTGAGATCTCTGAGAAACGCTCTCTCATTCTGCCCTGCACAATGAATGTATGGTGAAATGACAATAAAGCTGTATTGAATTCAATTGAGTTCTTATCATTGTACTGAATCACTGACACCTGTTCATTAAATAGATTTGTTTAAAAGATTTGTTCATCAGTGCTTTAATGCAGCTCCGACTCCCACTCATGCAACTGAAACACAGCTGAACATTCAGTTCAGCTCGCTAACTAGTGAGCTGAGAATGTAGAATTCAGTTGGATAAAGATAACGTTTGCAAACTGAAAGCTTGAGTCCTGCTGTGTTATGTACAACACAGATTTTTACGACACCTAATGTTTAAACAAAATATTTGGTACTACCTCCCACTTCAAGATATCAAGACATGAGAGGGAAGGAGAGGGTGAGAGGTTCAGTCACGGCTCACGTTTACTGTGTGGTACACTAAGTAAACCAATCACCTCACAGTGAAAGAATCGGAAAGAGTCTCAGACTCAGATCACTTACTGGCATAGACATGGATGCTTGCCTCTTGCCTCTTTGTCTGCTTCGCTAAATTTGTACTAAATTTAGACTCTTATGTCTATTTTGTATGTTTTGGAGATGCTTTTTGTGACTGGCTTGTGGGTCGAGTCACTCATCTAGATGAGGCAATCAACTCACAAATCTGTAAACTCTCCGTCTGCCACTCAGCTAGCTGCTAGTTAGCCAAGTCGAGGTTTTAATATGTAAACATTAGTAAACATTGGGGAAAAGATGGAGAAGAAATGAGCACCAGCTGAACTAGCATCCTGCTAACCATTGGACAGGCATTGGAATTAAACCGAATGACATCCATGCCACATCGGTTTCCAACAGGATATCAGAACTGTGATATCCTCTGATTCAGAGAAACTTGCCTAAATACAGGAAAGCGCTGTTCAACCAGGAGGCTCCTTTCTATTTGCCGATCTGATAGAGAAGAGGACTCTGGCAAGAGAGAGAATATAGTAGTATAGTAATATCTAGCATACAGAAAAAAAGTGATATCAGTCTTCTCATCTCCGTAAGAAAGCTAATGACCATATTTCCAAAAACGCTGAACTATTCTTTAAATGGCTTCTCTTTCACAGGGACTTAAAGGTTGTAGATGTGACATTCAGAGCAGTAATACAGCATTGTGTCCTGATCAGGGAATAAAGTTACCTTCCCTCTGTGTGTTGTGATCCAAGCTTCTTTGTGATCTGTTTTAGTAGCATTGTAGGCCACGCGTGCATGTTAAAACTGACATCAAAGAACTAGTGGCAAAAAAAGCCGACTGCGTCAGCCAATAAGTTAAAATTGAACAGACTGCAAAGACTACAGCCGATGGCCAACTTATGTTTTGCACCTGCATGACAGGACAGATTCAAGGCACTAGTTAGCCAGTTAGCACACCAGTTAGCAAAACCCAATGTTGACAGGACAAAGGATATTTATTGTGTGCTGTTGAAAAATAACGCAAAAAATTACACACTGTTTCTGTTAAAGAGCTCAGTGGCTAAAGAAAAATAATTTTATCTTATGTAACAAGTTTGTTTTGATCTCACGTCGTCTTGACTTTAGCTGTTTGTTTACTTTCCTCACTTCGATTTCTCTTCTCATGTGCTGTCTGCCTATCATTAGACATTAGACAAGTGCAACAGATACTCACGGACAGCCCAGCATTGACTGACAGCCAACCATCAGCTTGGTGTGTCAGGGCCTTTTAGTGCATATGAGTCCCTGCATGTGCATCCCACCTGCTAGCTAATCGCCGCCACTTAACGCTGGTATCAGGAAGGTGTTGGAATGGAAGCATAGCCCTGCCTCTGGCTCCCCTTAGGTTAACAATGTTAGCTCTTTCAGCACTGTTGCCATTGTTAGCACTGTGCATTGAATTAGCACCATTAGCTCCTGGCCACCAGCTCAGCCAAAACTATTTCACTGTAAAGTCCATTCAGTAGCTGCTCTTTCTTTATACCTGTTGTGTTTATTACCTGTTGTGTTTATTGACGTAATATGTCACCCAGTGCAACTTCACGGTGCTCTTATTTGTTGTTATTAGTTTTTCAAAAATAATGGAGCTATGTCTACAAAGACAGTACTCTTTCTTGGATAAAGTCATCATTGGTTTTGTTAGTATTTGTTCCTTACAATAAAAAGCCTTGAATGTAATATAAATCACTTTAATTCTATCACAAAAAAATGGAATTTGTCTTACAGAGAAACTACAATTAGAACATTGTTTGACATTCATTGTAATATCTACTCAACTTCAAACTCAAGTTCAGCAATGGATTTTATCTCATGTCCGCCCATTGGTACTCCAGCTCCTCGATGATCCCTGGCAGTACAGCTTTTGGTCCAGCGCTCGTAGCTGCTCCAGGAAACCGCTGTTAGGTGAAATGTTCCTGTTGGCACTGACAGCTTTGATGGCGTCCACCAGTGTCATGTTCTCGTGGATCATCAGGTAGGCCAGAACCAAGGTGGACGAGCGGCTGATTCCCATCGCGCAGTGGACAAACACTTTACCTGCAAGAACCAAAAACTCAACATCCACCCAGAGCTTAGCAATCCCCTACCAGCTCAATGTCTACATTTACAAGCATGCAATGACTGGATTATTGTGGTGAACTTTATTCTAACTGTCTAATTTGTTACTCCTCTGTGGATTAAAAACCATGCACATCACAGAGAGGAGTCCTTCTAACTCCTGACTGAAAGTTTTCAACAATATTGCAACAAATGTTTCTACACGCGGTAATCCCTGGTTGCTTATCGGGCCCGAGGATTAGGGCGCATAGGAGCACGTAATTGAACTGTCTTGGCGTCTGTGTATTTCTGCTGGGGATTACTGTAGGCCCCGCCACACACTGGAGCCCCCGATCAGCCAGCATGTGAATGAGGAGGCCTCATCTTATTACTGTCATGTCAGATACCGACTTCACTTTGCATAACAGGCCAGGCAGGCACAGGCCACAAACATAATTGTGTAATTTCCATGTCCAATAAAAGTGTTGCTTACAAATTACCAGGGCAATCCATTTAAAACCAATTTTCCTGGCCAAGGTCTGAGCTTATGAGAAGATTACCGTGGGGGAAAGATATTAGCTTGATATTATGTTTAGTGTTTGATTTGCATTTTAATGACTAATACAACTGGGGGCTGCTGTAATGGGAATTGACTGACAAATGTTTCTGTACTTTGGCTTGCAGGAAAAAAAAAGTCTCCCTCAATTTAATGTGTAAAAATGATGAGAAATACCTTGAGCCCAGTGAGAGCTCCTCACCTGTGGGCGAGCTCAAAGCATTCTTGATAAAATTGGCCGCTGGGTAAAAGAAGGGACTCAAGTCAAAGGATGGCATGTCAAAAGCTTCCACTCCATGATAAGTGATTTTGGTGTCTCTGTAGAAGCTGGGGCCCGTGCTCACGCTGTACTTCCCATCAGCAGCGTTGAGCACATGGGTGATGCGGTGAGCCTGGAGTGTCCTCTTGTCTTTGGCTGCATACCTAAATTGAAACAAGAATAATCATGTCAGTGCAGAGAAGTGATAGAAGAATTCATTCTTTTAATGATCAAACATATGACCATTGTGCAATAAGAAATACTTATACTAATTATTAAGAAGTTGTCATATTCATAATTAATAAAACATAAAACAACAGACAAGTTTAATTTTTCTTTTCAGCAGTTTTTCTTTTGTTAAACACCACTAACAAATTTCAATTCACCTCCATCATATTAGGGTGGTGACAAGAATCCCAGAGACAGATATAACTAATAAAACATTAACTATCTTCTGTGTGAGTGCACCTGCTCTGTACCTTTTGCAAACATTTAGCACATTAGCTTGATAGCATGTTCACGTGCTAATGCTACATCCATGGCTAATTTGTGCAAAGTTAAAGTCTTAAGGTTTAGCGTGTAGCTTAATGTCACCAACGCCATAATAAATGTTGGCATAGTATGTTTTTGCAAACTACAAATATGTTATATTTGTATCTATCTTTACTTTATGTTTCCTTACCCAGTCTTCAATATTACTATTACTTTTGTCTCCACAAATACAGCCAGAAATGTCCCAGTATGTCATTAAAAAATACCTTTTTTTGTCGCCTCAAACACAGCTGGAAATGTCCTGATGTGTTGTTAAAAAAATACCCGGTTTGGTCGCCACAAACATGGCAAGACATGTTGTCAAAAAATACCTGTTTTTGCCACCAACGGCTGGAAATGTCCTGACATGTCATTAAAAAAACACCTGTTTTTGTTGCCTCAAACACGGCTGGAAATATATCGATGTGTTGATTTCCTGATGTGTTGTTGAAAAACACATGTTTTTTTTGCCACAAACACGGCTGCAAATGTCCAGACCTGACATCAAAATATACCCGGTTTTGTTGCCACAATGTGATTGGAAATGTTCCAATGTGTTGTTGAAAAAAATACCCTGTGTTGTCACCACAACACGGTTGGAAATGTCATGATGTGTTGTTGAAAATATCTGGTCTTGTGTCCCAAACATCGCTGAATATGTCCAGACATGTTATGGCATCACAAGCGTGGCCGGAAATGTCCCAACGTGTCATTAAAAAATACCCTGTTTTGTCACCACAACACAGTCAGAAATGTCCCGAAGTGTACTTAAAAAATATCTAGTTTTGTCATTACAAACATGGCTGGAAATGTCCAGACATATTGTCAAAAAAATACCCAGTTTTGTTACCACAACACGGCGGGAATGTCCCAACATGTCGTTAAAAATTACCCAGTTTTGTCACCACAAACAGGACCGGAAATATCCTGCTGTCATTGAAAAATGGTCTGGCTTGGCAGCCATCTTGCCTCGTGTCACCCCATCCACCATCACCTTCTCCCTCCTGATGTCACATGTAATTACAACTATGTCACTTTAACATATCTGTGCTTTGCAGAAATGTACAATACCAACATTTTATTCAGGGACTGGGCTGACTTTTACCATTAATGCATTATTGTTAATTGTTTTCTCAACCTTTGGTGACAATTGGTGTATCCTTTAACAGCACGCTTGGTCTCACATGTCTCCAATATAGATCCTGGGCTGAACCTCATCCAGACGGTTGCTGCTCCCACTCTTTGTCCACATCAGCCTCTGGAGCTCTGAAGCCGGGGGGGTCTCATACCTGCCGTCTGCCCCCTCAGGGCTCCCCAAGCAGCTGAAGCCTCTGGGCATGTCTGGATGCAGCAGTCTCTACTTTTACAACCTGTCGTGAAGAAGTACCACACATGATATCAACTGTGAGTTTAAACATCATTGTTGAAACCGACAAAACTGCTCATTGATGTGAAATTTTGACCACACAAGAAGCTGAGAAGTCGTCAAAAGCTTTGGAGATGATTTTTTCTTTGCTCCACTCATTAACAGTTAAGAAAGGAAACACAGAAACAGTTTCAGACACCATCTGATGCCCCTTTGAATGCTTAATAATTCTACTCATGACTTTTAATAGGCTTTATCAACTAAAGAGAAGTAGCACTGAAAGAGAAATACAATGTGGGATTACAGTGAGGATCGTTAATTAGGACATCAGGTAAAGAGGCCTGGCTATTGCCTTTAAATATAGACTGTAATTACACCAATAAATGCACTCCACAGCAGCAAAGGACCACAAGAACACATAATTGTAAGATGACCTTATGATGCTCTCATTATTTTATCTACAGTTCAGCAGCACTTAGGTTTATTTATCTCCAGAGATACAGAAAATTGGTATTCAAGGCCTATAAACATCAGCTTTTCATTTCCTGCAGGCAAGTTCAACCTGTGCATTTACAATTTACACACTGGGCTTGTGAGAGACTTATACTGTGCATACTGTATACATTAGCATCCATTTAGGCAGCTATGTGATTCTGCTCCAGGCTGAGGACGTACAAACGATGTGTATGCATTGTTATAGTAAAGAAACCCATGGCAGCGGCTCAGCTTCTTATTTGCATTCTGCTGGTGCGCGGAGACATAATGTGGCACTCAGGGTTTGGAGACGTATTGTCGCGTCCACAGGGAAGAGTCGTTGAGACCAAATCTGTTTCAGTGACCTTTTGTTAAGCTGCCGTGGCATATGGAGGTGCACTCAAACATCATGATGGCTTTATCCATCTCTGCATGGTTGCATGTGTATGCAAGAAAAGCTGCATCTGACCCAGCATATGCTCCATGCATAGAGTAAAGTGTGTCTTTGCAGAAGTACAGCATGTGCCCGGAGTACCTGAGGCTCTTCTTTCTCCTCATTGATCTATAAGTACAACCCTTCCCTCCCTCCCACAGTCAGGGCAGAGAACTGATTTCCCTGGTGCACATGTTGAGCTGCAGCACTGCTTTCATAGCCTCCCCCCCTTAGGCTAACCTGTCCTTCCTGCTCTACTTCTGTGTAATTAAAGATGCTATGTATGGGAAAGTGCCCACGGTTAACATGGAGGGCAAATAAAAACTGCTTTTTTTTCTCTTTCTTTTTTTTTTTACCTCCTCCGGGCCTCTTCTTGGTGGTTTTATGAATTACACTTCCCTCTTTAGCCTTTCGGATGTGGTTCGTCTGGATTTGTGAGCAAATTAATAAAAGCAGAAAGTGTGGTCATCCATCAGGCAATGCATCACAGTACATCCTTGTTTATTAAAGTGCTTTACAAACATATTTACCTTGCAAACAAAGGTATACAGTATCATAAATCCACACACTACAGTCTAATAAACATTTCCCAACAAATATCTGCAATGAATTTGTAACAACACATTGTTAGCAGACACTTGCCTTGGCTGGAAACGTTGCTTTTCAAGGTCTCTCTGTACAAGAGCTACATGTAGGTCGACAGCACAACTGTCTGAGTTCTCCTTGGTAATCTACCCTGCAACCTTTTTTGCTATTTTAACATCTGAATCTCAGCCCAAAATAATTCTGGCATCATCTTCTGCATTCCTTTAAGGTTACCCGAGCTACCAGGCAACACAGGAGGGAGGATAGGACACGGCTTTTTCAATAGCAAGAGAATTAGATCAGTGCTGCTGAGCTTAAATCTCACACAGTCTCCACTGAGATTCGGCTCCACAGTTAAATGTGTGTTAAATCAACACCTGGATGTTTGGTCAAGTCAGGAGCTTCTGATCTCTTTTACTTTATATGAGAATGAAAGCATAAACACTGATTAAAGGTTCACACTTTAAACTGCAGTATAGAGATATAAAATCTTGCCTAAAGCATAAAAATAGTACGTCAAGAAGAATTATTCAAGAAAGATGAAGACATGTACAAACAATACAAGCATTTATTTTTATCATGCAAAGTTCATTCTTTGCAAAACACCCTTGTATTCTGTTTCTTGCACCCAAATAAAATATTCATAAAAGAAATCCCCAACTGTGTATCACATGTTGGGAGATAATGATTTCTAAAAGGTCCGTCAACCCAGTCAATTTTCATTTGTCACATGTAAACATATAAGTTACACTGACTATTTATTAAGTATGCAATCAACTGATGAACCATCCTAAAATCATTGCTGTCAGACTACTCTACAATAGACATGTGTGTCTTTTTGTGTCTGACGTTCCTAATGTTTCTACAGATGATTTCATAGACAATCAAAAGATCTGAAACCTTTTGATCTACAGCGACGATCAAATCAACTAGCTTGACGAATACACCAAAGGAATTTCACACTGCGAACACTGATGGGTTTTGTCTTGTTAAAGAGACGGGTGAGATTGATTCCCATTTTGAGTTTGGCCGTTGAATTGCAGAAACAAGTATCTTTTCTGAGTCATCTACAGAGTTTACAAAAAAAAAAGAAAAGACATTTGGTCCATTTTGCTGTAATACAAAGTGAGGTGCTAAAGAAAAAGACATCTGACAAGAATGAGAGGTAACGGAAAGATATAAATACTGTAGCTTTAAAATCTCCTTATCATTAGCATTCATTGTTCAGTCTCTGTTTTCACTTTGCATTGCATTAAGTCTCCAAACTGTCTTTTGTTAAGAAGTTCTTTGTTGTTGCTGTACAAGTTTATTCATTAAGATAAACCCCTTGAAATGAACCATCTTTTTTTCGATTGTGTCCTAGTATACATACAGTTTGTTTTTAACATCGCTGCCTCCAAAAACATACAAAAATACATAAAAGTCTATAGCCTAGTCATGGTGGCAGGTCCACAAGAAGGTTATGCACCTTATTAAAAAACAGACAACAAAACTGGATTCTTACTTAAAGACAACTCTCCAATTCTGTGTGAGATCTTTACCACTAGAAAGACAAGATATAGCTTGGTCTGAGGGTGGCGCCAGAGGTAAGGCCATGTTGTAGCCACTGTATGTTTTTATCGCCACATCTCTGTGTTGTCAGATTTGGCACAGTTTTCTTCCAGTTTGACTATACAGTCTATGAATTAGACATGCCATCTGTAAACCTTTACTGCACTTAGGCTCAGCTGTACACTGAGCTGAATACTAATTTGTGTTAGCATGCTAACTTCCATCCTACTCCATTGCATGTTAACAATGAGCCTACTGGATGATAACCATGATGTTAATGTGCTGTTAGCAATAAGCTATATCATGTTAGCATGGAAGATGTTAAGATACAAAGGCAAATGAGAAAGTTGCACACAAACAGTTACTGTAGCTGCTCTGCCCTAAGTTCTTATTAGCATGTTAAATGTTGACATGCTAACATATTAACATGCTAAATGTCAGTGGAACATTCATACCTGTTAGCATGCTATTGGTATTGTGAATGCTGGATGCCAACATTAGCATGTGAATTTGCAAAAGTTTAGCATCTAATGTTTAGTATGTTAACATCTTTAACATGTTGGTGTAACATGCTAATATTAACAATAGCCTCAAAAAGGTAATATGGGCTAAAACAATGATTATAAGCTAAATGAAAATAGTTATGAGTGTGCAGATTTAGGGCCTGTCCCAATACCCCCCCTTCGCTAGCTCGCACTATCTGGCGTCTGTCATCTGTCCTGTTCTGCAAAATTGTCGGATTTTTCACATTACGATAAAATGCCAGCTAGTATAACTATGCTGCCTCATAATGTTAGCAGGTTAGCTAGAAGTCCCCGTTGTCTGGGGGGTATTGGGATTGGGCTTTAGCCTCCTTCTGTTAACTTTTAGCATGTAAATATATTATTAGGCCAGTGGTTCCCAACTGGTCCAGCGTTAGTCATCAGTTTGTGGTCCCCACAATTTAATACATTCAGCGTCATAGTTGCGTTTAGCTATGTTGTCAAGCTAGTTTGCTGTCTCTGTCAGATAGCTGTCCGTTAGTCACTCACTCTAAAGCAGGAAACAGCACTTCAAAATAAATGCTTTGTGCTGGAAATCCACTGTACTTAAAAATAAAGTGTGTTTTTTACAAACTTGACACATTCGCCAGTCACTTGCAGTCCATTCAGAGTGGACCCACGACCCACTTTTGGACCGCAACCCAACAGCTGGGAACCACTGTATTGGCTAAATTAACATGTCAGCTTTTAGCATGCTAATAAAAAACTGAGGGCTGAGTGAGATAAATGTTAAATGAGCAACTTTACTATTGTTTTTTTCTTAAAGGCCCAGTGTGGCAGATTATATTAATAATTATGTTTTTATTAGTGTATAATCACCTGGAACTAAGAACTGCCATGTTTTTGTCACCTTAGAATCAGCTTTATATCTACAAACAGAGCGAGTCCTTTTTCATGAGGTCCGCCATGTTGTTTCTACAGTAGCCCAGGACGGACAAACCATGCACTGGCTCTACAGAGGGCCTTTTGTGTTTTTGCGTCAGCCACTGTAGTTCTCCTGCATGCTTGGCACACAAGTTTCAGTCAGTTGCAATCTACAACCTCACCACTAGATGGTAATAAATTCTACACACTAGACCTTTAATGTTTAACACTCCAACATATTAGCTAATGTCAAAGTACAGCTGAGTTTGACAGAAATTCAGTCATTAACTGCACCAAATTTCATGACCGTCCATCAGAAATATTAGAGTCTTGACCAACAGACTGACCAGCCCCACCGTCCCTACAAACACCACGCTGCTGTGGGGCTGAAAAATGTCATCTTCCCTTGACTACAAGATCTGACATGTTTTTTTCTTCTTTCTCATCAGCTGTAGATCCAGATCCAACAGCAAAGCCAGAAAATTCCTGTTGGGGTAGATTGCTCTCTTCTGGATCAGTTTCTGCAGAGCCTGTTTGAGCGGGAGGTGATGGTAGATCATGAGGTACGCTAACACCAAGGTCGATGACCGGCTCATTCCCATGATGCAGTGCACCAGAACTTTCCCTGAAGAACAGACAAAATGAAGGCAGAGAGGAGGGGGTGTGAAGGAAGGATTAGTGAGAGGCCTCAGTCTTATTAATATCATACATGACTGCCCGTCTCATGCTGTGGCCTTTCTTTTCTCCCGCTGTGAGCTAAAAATAGTGCCTACAATTCATCGCCTTTGTTCATTTAAGGTCCCTTTGCAGGCTGGGCCCGACTGTCTCTTTAATCCCAACTCGTCCTCTGCTTGATAGCTTCTTTGAAAGGAGCCATGGTCACATTATAGACTTAAATTCTGCAAGGTAAGACCCTTATTACTACTGCTGGCTCAAAATACACTTACATACCTTTACAAGTTGTGTTAGTGTGGTGACAGGTGACATTGAAAACAGCAAGATGGGGGAATTTATGAGTTTATTAAGGATTTATAGGGTGAAATAAAAGGTGTGATGTGCAGAACTTCAAAAAAACTACCACATTTTTGCAGCAATTAAACCTCACAGTGCAGAAATAGGACAATTCGTGTGAAAAAAAGAAGCCTTGAGGAGTCTTACCATCAGGTGACTTCAGAGCCTTATGAATGAAATCAGCTGCAGGCTGGAAGTAAACATCCAGATCAAAGTGTGTCGAGTCATCTGCTGGAATGCCACAATACACAAAGCTGTTGCCATAAAAGCTTTGGTTCCCTATGCTGCCTTGCTTGGAGTGAGCAGCGTTTAATACATGAGTTATACCTAATTTCTGCAAGGCAGTCTTGTTTTGGGCTACTGCCCTAGCAACACAAAGAGACAGAAACAGGTTCAAGATGTATGTGAACGCTAAGCATCACAGAACAATGTTTTTGCACCAGAATAACACAATCATTTGCAAGAGCTATATAAAAAATACACAGGTTTCCATATATCCTTGTGAGCCAAAGTGTGAAATAAAATGTATACTTACAAATTTCCTATGTAAATATTCGGCCAGACCTCATCAACTTGACTGAGATGAAGCTTACATGAGTCCAAAACCTTCTGCAGATCCTTCACACTTAGATACTCTTTTCTTTTGCCTTTCAAGTTTGACATTTTAAGTCCAAATCCCCACGTCTTGGATCGATTACGGTCCAAATGTTTGTTGTATCAAAGCAGTTCCCGTCAACTCCGGTGCAGGATGATCTGTACGAGCAGGTGTTTGTCTGCTGTCACTGGACAGTTACCCAATTTAGTGCTTAACCTAGCGTGTAGTCTTACTCGTGCAGAGGGCAGAACAACAAACAGAGCAGCCTGAGCTCTGCTTTTCACACCACGGTGGGACTCTAATTTAATAAGCCTCAAACAGAGATGAATCATCCCATAAAGCAGTGATAATTGGATGCAATTATGGACAAAAATGTTTAAGTGCATTGCTTATACTTGATGACAGAGAGTCCGGGGTAATGTGGCGTTTATGGAACCGAAATACTGCAACAGATTCATGCAGCTGGTTTACTGCTCTGACATAAATATCTTGTGAAAGCAAATTGGCTGAAAAAATTAAGCTTTGCCGCTGGCTGCACATGACATCAAACAGCCCTCACACTGCTGCAAGTGTCTCTTTTAACCCTCCTATTATGTCGCAGGTCAATTTTCAACCATCCCAGGTTTCAAATTGAAGAAAAACATAATTAACCTCCATGAAATGTAATGACCTCTCTTCATACGGGGTCATGGTTGTGTTTGTAAAATGTGGGTGTGATGATGTGTTGTGAAAAGTCAGTGCTGATGTTGTATACAATATCAGTCAATAAATGTCTCCGGGTCATTCCAACCTGCAGACAGTTATTGATTCATTATTTAAAGTGCAGCTTCTGCTTACTGATGTATCTCCAGTGGTGTGTGTGGGGGGACCAAATTCCGACTGATATGTACGTACAAAAATAAAATCCAGACCTGCTGGTAAATGTGTGATTCTGGTAAGATCCAGATGCAGGTGTGGTCTGACAAAGTGTAGCTGTGTGTGAACAAGCTGTTATTAAAGCCTTTATTAGAAATATTGAGTATAGACTAGAAATATTCTGAAACTTTCAAATTTTTGTTGACATGGGAGTTACAAGATGAAAAAGATTACATGAAATGATAAACATGAAATTCCGTAAAACTTCAATTAATAGCCCGGGCTATTATTTGCTTAAATCACTCAAATCAACAGGCCTATATTTAGGACAGGCCTTTAATTCCTTTCACACAAAACTGTTGCTCAGCAAAAATCAGGATATACAATTAAATTTCATTTAAACCAGTATGAATATTACTTTTATAAAGATTAGTCTTCAGATAATATATCAGGTATGAATCACTCATTTGATCTAGCTCAGACAGACAGCACATGTGAGAGAGAGAGTTATGACACTTGAGGGCTACGGCACTCGGCACACTGACACAACGCCACTTTATCCTGTTAAAACAATCCTCACAACTTGGATTAATTTTTATGAAAATGCCTTTTGATTCTTTCAATCTGAGGACCCTTACAGACTAAAGGAATATGAGTAACTTACAGGGTAATCAAGGAATAGACAAATAATTTGAGGTAGCCAATGACACGGTTTTAAACATCTGAAGAACTTATATTGAAAAATGAACTGCTTGGCAACCAGACCAGGCTTCTAATTGAGACAGGCCTTTATTTGTCAAAAAGTGTAGCCACACCAGGCTAGTAAAAGGGACTGGGCGTTTAATTGGGACTAGGGTTTTAATTGAAGTGTTAAACAATGCAGCATCACCATCACAACATATCGGCATGCATGTTTTGTTATGCTGCCCTGCCATTCTGTCAAAGTATTTGTTTTTTCCTGTGTCATCCAGGTGTTTTCCATCTTCTGCCCACCATCTGTCTGATTCCATGTGAACGCAGCATAAGTGGGTAAGGATAAATAGAACAGCTAGAGCAAACTGGTAAGTTCAGAAAGTTACATCACTTTACTGTGATGCAGCCTTTATATTATATTACGATATCCAAAATCTAAGAAAATATCTAGTCTTATATCATGATATCAATATAATATGGATATACTGCCCAGCCCTGCATAGCAAGACCACTAAAGACACAGATGACTGGTTTCTCATGGTTTTAAGAACCAGAATGATTAAGAATCATGATGATTTTCCAAATACTGAGGTCACGAGTACAAATTCTACACCAGCACAGCTAAACATATTGGACAAATTTAAGGGGGAAAATCAAATCATAAAATTGCACAATGTATTTATTTATTTAACTGTGGAATTATATTTTAAATAAATTTGCAAATGTGCAAATAAAGTTTTTATCTCCCCACATTTTGGTGTAAATACTGTTTGAAAATCTGATTGTGATGGAGAATACAAAACCTCTTATTTTCTTAAATTTTCCCCAGAGATATTACATTTCAACTAGTTTATTAATGTATTTGTCAACTATTAATCTTATGTAACAATACTAGATAACAATATTGAACAAATCCTCAAGACCTGTTATAAAGCTTTAACATTTGATACCCATACAAATCTAAAGAAGCTTAATGTGTTCAATTTAAGGGGGGAAAAATACTTTTAATTTTCTTTTTAAATAAACAAGATTATTATCTCAGAATTATGAGACAAAAAAGTATGGAAAAAATCTGCTCGTTTTTCTAAATTAATGAGGTAATAATGTTGCTAATTCAGAAAAAAAAAATCAAATTTAGGAGATTATTTTGTTAATTCAGAAAAGCAAGAGAATTTTTTTTCCATAAATCCCTTTTTTCAGAATTCTAATAAAATAAATTTCATTAACTCAGAAAAGCAGGCCAAATATTTTTTCTCTCAAGTAAATGATTTATGCTTCCCTAAAAATCATTGATGGATATGTTTAAAGCTGCTAATACATGATTCAGAACTGATACAAACATGTTTTTTATATATGATTATAAATGCAATGCTATCAATCATTCATTATCAGATCAAATGCCAGGTATGAATGCTTCATATAGTGAGGTATAGCCTATCTGTAGACAGTTAAAATGTGCTAAACTTTTCTTACAACTAAACTATACTAAATAATAACCATTTATTGATCATTCATGTTAGCTGGGATAGGCTCCAGCCCCCCCACGACCCTCAAGAGGATGAAGTGGTTAGAAGATGAATGAATGAATGAATGAATGATCATTCATGTTGTTCTAGTGTAAATACACAGCACAACATAGTGGATGTATATTTTCTTTAACATAAAACAAAAGGTTAAATGAGTCATTTTGTCTCATAAAATGGATTCTGCCTGAGGGTGAGTTGATTACACAGATCTCCTACTAATATAAGGGTCAATATCCTGGGAACAGGCAGCATGATTCACATTTAACACAGCGCCAGGCTCAATAATAGTTCAATACCATTCTTGAAACAAATTGATTAAAGTCAAAGTACAGTATCTCCCTCCACTGGCAGGTTCTCAATTCTTAATTTATACTGAGGAAAAACAGGCATCTGAGGCTCTGTAATTTAGAAAATCTCTTTCTTTTTGAGGTGCAGGGGATTACTCAGGATGTCTTGCGCAGTTTCAGATCCAAAGCACGAAGCTGTTTGAGGAATCCTCTGTTTGGGAAAATCCATCTGTGCTCTTTGACCTTATTGATGGCCTCTAGCAAGGTGTAATGGTGGTGGATCATTAGGTAGGCCAGGACGAGGGTGGCAGACCTGCTCACTCCAACTGCACAGTGGACAAAAACCCGAGCTGGTGAAGGAGAAGATTACAATTAGTTTAAAGCACGAGTTGATAATGGGATTTTATTCAGAGTGAGAGGCCTGAGACAAAACTGAGTGACAATAAAACAACACAATGGGTATTTACCACCAGCTGTGTCAAGTGCACTCTGAATATACTCTGCAGAGGGAGAGAAATAGTGAGAGAGGTCAAAGGATGGTGAGTCATCTGCAGGCACCCCATAATAGTCCACAGTGGAGCCGTAGAAGTCATGACCCCCCTGACAGTGCATCCTTCCATGAGCTGCATTCAGAACATGAGTGATTCCCAGCTTCCACAGACTGTAGCGATCATTGGCTACTGACCTGTGGACAAAGGAAACTGGAGTTATAGCAAGAAACGCATAGGGTTACTTTTATTCTATAGGCTGTGTCAAAAACTTACATGTCGCCAAGGAAAAGGTTAGGCCAAACTTCATCCACATGGTTGTCAAACCTTTTTCCTCCGTACAAAACCTTCACCAAGTCTTTCACAGATGGAGTGGCTGGTGAAGCTGCAATACTTTCTTGTAGATTGCTCATAGTTGACAGCATTTACCTACATATCAACATGTTGCTCTGAAACTACCTATTTGTAAGAGTTCTTCTTCCATTTGTTTTCTGTTGAGGCTTTACTACAACCATGTTGGTACTGACAAGGACAGGTGTCCCTGGTCTAAAATTAAATCAGTGACCCAACATCTAAATGTAGGCCAACCTAATGCTTCTAAATGTTTATAATATACATCTATGGTAGTTTGTAGCATTTAAGTGCACATATACTTAGCTTTTTGCATGTTAACAATAACACTACTGCACAATTGAAGGCGCTGCAGTACCCCGTTTTAACCATTGGGTGTCACTGTTGGTAAGCTAGAGCTAAGCACTGGGTGGCTGATTTTTCCCCTGCGCAGCTACTCTGAGCATTACCGCCCTGTGTTGTCAACATAATGCTAACCAGCGCGAAGCCAGGGCGAAATGATTTCCACCAAGCCCGTGTTGTTGCAGCAAACGCTAACACGATTTCTCCAGATTCTTGTGAGATGCCATTTAGCTAGCTAGCTGAATAAATAAGTTTCCGTGTCGTCTTCTGTCACATCTCAGTCCGGGTGAGTGAGCGTGAGGCGCACGCATTGATTAAGCTAGCTAGCTAATAGCTTGTTAGCTAACCACTGTTAGCTGTGGCTGAATTAGCTTGCTTGGGAAGAGTTGTTTTGGTAAAAAAGAGAGGATGCTTTGGCTTGGTTTCATGTCTGCCTCAGGCGTACGTGTGGTTACATGCACAGTTAACCACCAGGTTGGCGTGTTATCTTAAGATAATGAGAGGAGTTAGCACAATTAGCTCCTGGCTCCACCTTAGTGGTAGCCGGTGATGTAGGTTAGTGCAGGTGGGTGTTTTCCACTGGACAAAGTTACTGACCTTCTGTTGCATTAAAGCTGCTCTGTGTACAATACAAGCTATCATACCATGCAGTCCCTCAACAGGTAGAGATGCTAACATGGTATGGATATCTGTTGTTGTTTCCACTGACACTGAAGTTAATCTTAAATGAGGATTATTCCATTTAGTGTGTGGGATAGTGTTGACTAATAATAAGATTAGTCATAATAGCCACAAGTCATTATTTTTAACTATTGCAAAAGTCTGTCTGCTCTTTTACCTACTTTTTAGGGTGTGTGCAAACTTGGCAAATTGTTGCCTCATATGTTTGCTCAAGATGTGACTGCTCAGCTTGCCCGTGTAGCTCAAGCATTGTCTTAAACTTGTTTATCACTTCTAATTTTCTCTCAAAGTGAAGCTGTTTTTCTGTCTATGTGGCACTCTTGCATGGTTGGTTTAGAATTAGTATTGCTGATTCAGTGGAAATAAAGTGTGCCTATGAGTGCTTCCTTCTCCTTAAGATTCCTTTAATCGTTGGGGTAGGAAGTCAGAGAGGAAGTGATACTGACAGTGAGGGGGAGCTCAGTGGTCTGAGTTGATATTCTGTACTTTTCTTCAGCCTTCAGAGTGAGGAGGAAATGACCCAGCTGAGTGTCCGTCGCTGGACGCCCAAACACGTCGCCAAGTGGCTGAGGGAAGAAGGCTTCTGTGACTATGTGGACCTGCTGTGTAACAAGCACCGACTGGATGGCACCAGTCTGCTTGCCCTCAGCGAGTATGACCTCCGCTCGCCACCTCTGGAGCTCAAGGTGCTGGGGGACATCAAGCGTCTGATGGTGTCTATTCGCAAACTACAGAAACAGAACATTGACGTGTTGGAGGAGCTGGGTCTTCCCTTCGACGGCCACTCTCCCACAGGCTCAGGAGGCAGTTTGGACTGGTTGTGTAATGGAGACCCAGGTAGAGACTGTGACAGCACTGACACTGCACCGGTGGGAGAGGAGTATCACCAGTACACTAATGGGAAGTACAAACAGCAGACGAGGCGCCTGGATCCAGAGTACTGGAAGACAGCACTTAGCTCCATCTACGTGGTGTTTGTGTTTGGCTTCACCTCCTTTGTCATGGTCATAGTGCATGAGAGGGTGCCTGACATGCGCACATACCCTCCACTGCCAGATATTTTCCTAGACAGGTGGGTGTGAGACAGGAAAGACACTTATAACGTCTTATTTTTCTGACCTGGGGCACTGGGTAACAACACAAACAGTTGTCAGCTGTGAAAGGCCAAAAATAGTGATTTTTTTTTTTTTTTAATCAACTGTCAGAATATCACACCAGATGGTGGACACTATAATTGCCCTACTTCCTTGTAGCATGTTTCTATTATTGTCCTCACATATTCCTGATGGGTTAGCTTTGGTTCAAAGAGACCTTTGAGGGTGTTTTTAAAGTGACCTACTTTGTAGTGTGACCCATTGTTTATGACCAGCTTTGAGCTTTTCATGGAATTTCTTTTCATGTTTAGTGGGAGAGCTGATTTTAGGGGAGATACCAATGTGTATTTGGTTTGATAGATCATGTAGAAGCACCATTGAGTGATTTTAGGGTCCATGTTTTACTACTTAAAATCAATTGTGATGTTAGAAAGTAAGAACATAGAAATTAGTTTGTAATATTTAAGCTTTAGCTGTAGTTTTTTTTTAACCCAAATGATGTTTCAAGGGTCTTTTATAGGTCTGAGACTAATGGCTAATTAATTAGTAAGTTACCGCTTTTTAAATTAATGTATTTTTTTAATCACTGGTTCAGTCTATAAATTGTTTGTTTTTGGCCATAACTCAGGAATTCATAAGCTTATTATGACAAAATTCCACATAAATGTCTAATAGGATGTATTGATGAAGTGATGGCATTTTATATCCAAAAGGTCAAAGGTCAGCTTCACTGTGACATCATAATGTTCTGCAAAAACATTTTTCTGGCCGTTACTCAGCACCATATCTCAGGAACAGAAGGGAGACATGTGGTCAGATACTGAATTGGTGACCCTAATCTTGCGTGCACGCGTTGAAACTGTGCTGATTGTACAGATATTCTGTGCTGCAGGGGAAAAGATGTGCGTGAAACATCCATGAATTTATAGACATGAATGTAAACTGTGACATACAACAATGAGGCAGTAATTCTAGTTTTCATTTAGAAATGACCTGAGTGAATTAAAAGATTAGTAATAGTTGCCAGTTAACTTTTTGTTAATCGTTATTTTCTCTTTTCAACAGTGTGCCTAGAATACCTTGGGCCTTTGCCATGGCTGAAGCATGTGGAGTGATCCTCTGTAATGTCTGGTTGCTGGTTCTATTGCTCCATAAACACAGGTAGAGTCCTGCAGCCTGTTGCACCAGCTATACACAAGTTTTCCTGAAGTTAGGCTGCAAAGTTTACACTAAACAATCATGGTAAATAGTTGATTTGATTATACAGTGGTGTTGATGTTTGGTTGCACCACAGAGACATAGGGTAAGTCCACACTAACCAAAATATTGTCGCAGAAAATGACAGTTTCACTTTCCTTGGGCAATTACTGGAAAGCATCATTCTATCTACCGGCTAAAAATAGGGATCATTATTCACCAACCAACATAAAAAAGGTACATAAAACTAGGACAAAGCATTACAGTTAGGTGATAACAACCTTGACCTTCAGCGAGTGTAGAGTAGCAACACATCGACTGGTAAAACTGTAAACACAGGGTAATATAATGGTAACCCATAGGGCAGGTGGAATTAAAACATTACAAACATATAATAATAGTTTACACTGGCAAACTCGTAAATTAGCAGTTGTTAATCTGTGGGTTATATACTGTAAGCCTAGATATTTGCACAAAGTGTGGCACAAAGGATATTTATATGTTATTGCCCATGTACTTATGTGTTATTTCATATGTAACGCCATAGGAGATCTGGGTTAACTCTTTCTCACGACCTGTAGGTCTATCCTTTTGCGGCGCATGTGCAGCCTCATGGGGACGGTGTTCATGCTCCGCTGCATCACCATGTTTGTCACCTCCCTGTCTGTGCCGGGACAACACCTGCAATGCTCAGGAAAGGTAACACTTACAGTAATGAATTTTCTGTATCTTAAACACAGCGTATTTGCCTCCGTAAAAAGATCACATTGCTGATGATTCCACTTCCTCTCTCTGTCTAGATGTATGGTGACATGTGGGCCAAGCTGCAGCGAGCTGTGGCCATCTGGAGCGGTTTCGGGATGACGCTGACGGGAGTGCATACATGTGGTGACTACATGTTCAGCGGCCACACTGTGGTCATTACCCTGCTCAACTTCTTTGTCACAGAGTGTGAGTTGCCTTTACATCTGAAGTTGTCTTTGTAAATTTGTGTTATATTTAGGGGGGAACACAGCAACTAAAAAGGAATACTTCACGACCCAAATCACCATCTGTATATCAGTTACTCACCCTGTGTTATGTTGAGTTCATGAAGAAACGTGTTTTTCTCGCATGCTTCTACAGTGAGAATCAAAAAACTGAGAAAATTCTTGATGATGTCATAGGCAAATGTGTTTCAGAGAAGCTAACCTACGGTAAAACGCATGACTCGTGCAGTATAATCCAAGTCTCTACACAGTCGTAAGCTCACTACTTCCCAAACCGACAGCCCTGTCTGATGGGGGCCTGCACTGAAAGTAAAACTTATTCATGCTGTTGTCAAAGCCAGACTCCATTGATGAAAACATCAATTTTAACTCACCGAACATGGTAGCTTCTGGTCTACCACTGCCTCGATCATTTTGTTTAATTGTGTTATTGTGTGACTTTGGTGTTTTCAAGGGTTAGTTTGGATTCACCAAAGTCCCACAATAACATAAACTACCTAACTGATTAAGGCAGCGGTAGACCAGCAACTCCTTTGTGCAGCAAGTTAAAATTACTGCTTTTGTCAATGTAGTCTGGCTTGAGGAGAGCATCAGTAAGTTTCACTTTTTGTTCAGTTCCCATTCGGAAAGGGCTGTCTGTTTGGGAAGTGCTCAGCATATGACTGGATAAATGAGACTTTTATCATATTGCACGACTAATGTTGAAGTTTATATACGAATGTTGTGGTATAGTTTTGCTGTTGTTAAATGCGGACCCTCTTTTACTTGAATTCATCAAGAATTTTCTCAGTTATTTGATTCCTTGCTGAATGTGGAGGCGTGCAAGAAAAACAAAGCAAATGGTCATATGGGGGCTGAAGTATTCCTTTACGTTTTAAGTATATTTTTTAGTTTTTCAGGAGATGTTTGTCTGCTGGTGATTAGGTTTGGTATTTGTTTACCACCCAAAATAAAGTTTTGAAAGCACAAATTCAGCATTGTCATTTTGGTTGAAGGTCTGAATTGAAGGTTTGAGGTCTACTAAATGTATTTGAAGTTTACATTCTGCAATATTTTAAGTTTTTATCTGCTAAAAAAAAGAAATACTTCAAAAGAAGAATATTATTTTGTTTGACTTGGGATTTTAAACTCAAATCTGACTTTCACTAATATTTTTTGACATTCAGTTCCCTTTAAGTTGCCACATTCATTCATGAAAATCATGATTAATTATGAGCTATAATTAAAAGCTGTGACATCAGAGTATTAAAGTAAATAATGAGGAAGACATATGAAGAGCAACAAACACTGTGACCATAGTTGGGAACATTGTCTCTTTGTTGCCATCCAGTGTCCTTTGCTGGTATTACACCTGAAATAAAAACAAGCCTCCATCAGTCTGACCTGGACAGAAATAGTCTGTCTCCAAAGAATATGATTGGTTTAGTGGTAAAACAACAACCAAAAAAAAAGATAATTTGTTGAACTTATCTTCATCTTCTCCTGTTTTTAATTTTACAAACAGACACCCCACGAAGCTGGAACTTCATTCACACGTTGTCCTGGGTCCTGAATCTCTTCGGCATCTTCTTCATCTTGGCTGCACATGAACACTACTCCATTGATGTGTTCATAGCCTTCTACATCACTACCAGACTCTTCCTTTACTACCACACTCTAGCCAACACCCGGGCCTACCAGCAGAGTCGAAGAGCTCGCATCTGGTTCCCCATGTTCTCGTTCTTTGAGTGCAATGTCAACGGGCCCGTCCCCAATGAGTACTGCTGGCCCTTCTCTAGACCTGCTGTGATGAGGAGGCTTATTGGATAGTGAGCAGCAGCAGCAGCAGTACTGTCAGACACTTCTTAGCCTGTGCGGTTTAGTCTGCTTTGTCAAGTTGCCAACTGAGGCGGTGTGTGATATCTTCATCAACAAAGACTTCTGTTGTGATCCTGTTAGCACCGAGGCCTGATGGGATACACAGAGCCATACCTTCTTATATTCTGGGACTTATCTTCAAAGTTGCTTCCTCTGTCATCATTTTTAGGCGGATTAAACGAAATCCACAAAACCATACAGAATTTCTAAAAAGCCCCATCGACACTCTTTGCTCGACTTTGAAAAGTGAACACAGCGGAGATATGTTTCATTCAACGGTTGCTTATTTTTCCTAGGAATAGGAATGTCATTTTATGTAGCATAAAGTGCATTTATCAGTACCTCCCGACTTTAAGAGATGGTTCAGATTTTTTTAAGTTGGGTTGTATGAGGTACTTATCCATAGTCAGTGTATTACCTAAAGTAGATGCCCCACCCCCCCAGGTTGGAGACCCAGACAGGAGTACTGACGCAGAAGCTAAGCGATACAATTCTGTGGACACAGGTAGCAGGAAAATGTGTTTTAGCCATCTGAAAAAAAGGCCCACCTAAAACAATCAATATCAGACTAGGTGTATGTTACATTTGTATTATTTTCACCGGTTTACCTTGCTGTTAGCCAACCCCTTCTGACAGGGAACTAAAGCTGTTGTTTTGCTCTCTTCAAGGCCACCAGACTCCTTTGACAAAATCAGTAATTTTACCTCACAGAACACAGGAGTTGCTGGTCTACCCCTGCCTTGATTAGCGAGACTTTTTTTTTGTCATTGTCTGACTTCAGTGTTTTAAAGAGTTAAGGCCTTTGCACACTGAGTATGTTTGTTTCAGATCCGTTTTTTTAATTTAAAAAAATCGTTACGTACACTGATTCTGATGCGTTTTATTGTTCTATTCGTTGTGAAAATTCACAACATGTGACAAAGTGAAAAGACACATTTCCTCCTTTGTCTCTCAACTAAAGTCACCTATCTGGCCGTCCATTTGGCACCACAACTGCACCAAGTGGTGGAGCTCTCCTTCCTCTCTGTCCTCCACATTCCGTGTGTGGTTCACATCCTCCTCCTCGTCATTATCCCCTTGAATATTACGATCTGACCTGTTGAACGTGAGCTGTCTGAGTTATGAAATGATTCTGTGCGCCCTGTTTCTCTGTCTTGTCGTGGCTGTGTCCTGCCGCCACATTTTCTTCAGTAATTCTTGGTCAAACATCTGTAAAGGCTTCTGACGGACACAAAAAAACGTAGAAAATTAAATTGTTCCGAAAATTTTAAAGACACAAAAGTTTTGGACTCATTGTGTAAACGTGATTGACACTGTGAATTTGTCTTTATTTTCTTAAGATGTGTGACAATTTTGGACGGGGAAAAAAAAACAGACTCTGTGTGCAAAGGCCTTTAGTTTGGCTTCACCGGTGTCACTCAATAACACTAACTAACCGACCGATTAAGGCAGCGGTAGACCAGCAATTCCTGTGTTCTGTGAGGTAAAATTACTGCTTTTGTCAAAGGAGTCTGGTGGCTTTGCAGAGAGATCATAGATGGATATGACGGCTTCAGTTCCATGTCAGAAGGGGCACATGTCACAGGTAAAGCTGTGAAAATCTTCTAAATACAGTGTACAGTTAAACTGATATTGATTTTTTTTTAAGTGGTTAAAAGAAGTTTAGCTGCTGCCCCTGTCCACAGCAGTACATTGCTTAGCTTCTGTGGCCGTACTACACTGACTATGGATACATACCTCACACAACTCTGCCTCAAAATCCGAACTGTCCCTTTAAGAATATTTACATAACACATAACATAAAGCCACATCAGAAAAATCTCAGGCAGCGGTGTACCTAACCCTTCACAGCAGTTTGCCATTTCCTGTGCAATTAAAACACCTGATCATTTCAAGGTTTGTATCCGGATTCATGACTGACAGTTTTGTCTTACCTCCCACTTTGTAATGTATCAAAGAATAACTCAATGGACCACTGTTAAAGCAATATGTAAAGATCTACCTTACACTGTTGCTTTGTTTCTGTACAGCTAACTGTCGTTCATCATGTTGACAAACATGTTATTTCTTTGCCATGACTGAAGTCTTTTTCATTCCTCCAAATAATGCTTTCATTTTGAGTGTTACTAAATGTTAACAGATGAATTCATAGCTCACTGAAAGATACAGTAAAGTATGATAATGTCATTATCAGCCAAAAACGTTGAATCAAAGATTTATTTCCAGCTGTCTTAAATATAATTCCAGTTGCCAATTACCTTGAGTGTTACGATAGATTTCTCTGTGTAGAAATGTCCCAAATCTTTCATGTTTACTGTTGGATAGTTGGATAGTGCTTTTTTTTTTTTAAATCATCATACAGTGTAAATTATAATAATTTTTTCACATTAATCTGTAGTGATGGTTCTTCAAAAGGATCCTTAAATTTGTATGTATTTGTTTGTATTAATTTATTTCATTTTGTAACAGTCAATAGGTATTTTTATATTTCGTATATGATGTTACAGCAACATGCACACGAAGAAATATGTTTACAGTTGCTCTTAACTATTTATTTGAAACACTATGTGCTTTCTAAGTGTAAATGTTGATTTCAGATTGGCCTCGACATTTCATCGAGTGAAACTGTCGTGAGAGGGATGTTGTAATTGATGTGATCGTTACAGCATGTTAGAAACATGATTATTATAAAGGGAGCTGACAGTATACGACACGTCCTGTCACTGAGGAATGATGGTGTTGTGCTCATGTGCTCATGCAAAGCCACATTACTTGTTTCATGTCTCGTTCATTCATTTCCATCATTAAAGAGCTGAAATCAAAGACCAGTTTCTCGTGTATTTCTCCACTCACTGCACTACCTCATAATGAATGTGCATTATAAATAGACTGATACAGTGCAAAATCTTCAGGATGAGAGATTATTAGTTTATAAAACTGTCAAAAGCTGATGCTTGCTGTGTATTTTAGCCAGTATTAAGCAGTGGATGATGAGTGGACATATATAAGGTACTTTAGTTTTAGGATTTTATATTGATTGTACAGGCCATCCAGTAAAATGTGTCAGAAAAGGTTCAGGTTGGATTTTAACTAGAAAAAGAATCTATTAGTCATATGTTTTAATATGTGCTTTTGGTATGCACAAAAAAATTGTACATATGGTGATTATTTTTTAAAGTGTAACACTGAGGTACAAGGACATTTTTTATGTTTTTCAAACACTTAGATTTACTATTCTTAGTAATAGTGTCATTTATACAAGGATAGCTCCATAGACACCTGAGCAATGGAGCAATTGGAGCAAATGCATCCCCGTTATTCAGTCAGGGGGAGTAAAGTTATGGTTTTGCTAACTTTGCGACATTTTCATCAAACAGTCCCTGTGGGATTAGTTGTTGTAAGACCATTTATGACAAGCGTTATATAAATTAAGTTTATTATTATTTTTTATTTTATTATTTAATTCATCCAAAGTGCTTGTCCTTTAAAGCAACTGTTAGACTTTGAAGATGGCCATGTGATGATTGAAAATAGCACCCCTCAGGTTTAATATTGTTTAACAAGGTTGAAATTATATTGTGATGTGTTGTTAGGCTATTTCATTTACACAAATTGTTTGCCCTTGAAGATGCTCTCATAGCATCCCACTACCAGTTTAGGTTACATAATATTTTTACGAATATAATTTCAAATATAAAACAGCCATTTTTCTAAAAATCAATCCAACTAAACTGGTATTGATGCTTCTTGGTTTTCATATCACCCTCAATCTGACTAATCTAGACTGATGCTGGTAGTGTAGAAATGCAGGAATTTTGTTTTAGATTTAAAATTTTCTGCAGGAGGTCACTCATGGTCTGATTCCCCTCTCAGCTGATGCCATGCCCCCAAGCCAGATCAAGGCCACGAAATCTGAAACTGAATACAATCTGAACATGAAAAAAGACCTCAAAGTAGAAATTGAGATATAAAACAGTGAAAAAATAAGGTGTATAAAATTTGTATCTAAAAAACATAACACCTCTTGTATCAAAATATATATGAAAGTGAAAAATTAAAACAACTAATTTAAAGACTTACAGAACTGAATCAAAATTATATTTAACCTGATTTTTTTCTATACTTCTTTTTAGTTTTTTAATTACATTTTTTCCCAAAAGTATCAAAACTTTTGGCCCTGATTTACCTTAATAAGCAAGAAGATCTGTGGACTGACAAGTGACTGACAAGCCACCAGGCAGCATAATAGCGTGATATTTCCGCCTTGAACGGGCAGTGTAAAAGAGGCTGATGAATGGGAGCCTGATTTTGTGAACCTACAGAACGATTGTTTTCTTTTTATACACAAATGAGCTTTGTTATACTGTAGAGTTCTCAGTTTATGAAACAGAAAATGTGCCTATATACTCAGAATATTAGCTTTGGTGCTCTTAGTGTAGTAGGTCACTTTTCCCAATTCATTATCCATGGAGCAGCTACAGTATTCATACCCTGTGACATCACATATTTGAGTTTTGGCACTCTAGTTTTTGGATTTGGGCGATAGTTCTTCATTTTTACTAATATTTTTGTAGTGTCTGAGAGCATGAGAATAATGTATGAATTTTGAAAATGGGCGAACTTCCCCTTTAACGTTACATAGCGTATCGGTTACCATGGTGATGTAGCGGTCTTCCGGTTGCCGGTGTGCCGGTAGTACGCACTTGCCACAACTAAAGTTGACTTTTACAAATGGCAAGAATTACGTTGCTTTGCCAAACCATAGAACAAATACTTAACTACTCGACCTAAAAATCCGAAACTGTCATCTTGTTTTTATTTTAGTCAGGCACAAAACAAACAGCTATATTCGGGGTCCTTCGGCGCGGAGGTCAGGAGGGTGTTTGTTGCGGTGTCTCCTCCATATCGTCCTACACCGGCCCCTGCCGCTTTTCTGCCTCTTTTCTTAACTCTCAAGTTCACAGCAACTTAATCGGCAACCGTAACACTCGGTAAGTATCAGACCGTGTAATTACACGGGCTGCTTAAGTTGTATTTTGTTTGGATGTCGACAAGATGGTTATCAAACGTCCCATTTGCTAGCTAGAAGACGCCCCCTACCACCCTCATGTGTTCAAACTCCGTCAAAATACTGCAGCAGGCACCAGTGACAGTGTGTATATCTTATAATTCACTATTTGAATAATCAGAATGGCGAACGAACAACCTGCAATCGTGTTCGCATCTAATTCAAAGTAAATTCCTCTAATCTGTCAAGTGTCACCGTTATTCCCCCATTTTCTAAGATGTTATTCTACAACCGGCTGATTTAATAACTATATTCATGTCGAATTATGCTAGAAATTGTAAATAAGAAGACACATATCAAATGGTGGGTTGTCAGGTATGCTGTTTACCGTCGTGTTCGTGCTTACTGTAAGCAGTCAGTTTGAGAAAAGCCTCCGGTCTAACCTTGAAACTGAGGAGACGTGACGACACAATCTGGGAGTAATGGAGACTGTAGGACTCTGAGTCAACTGGTGCAGGTGTCTGGCAACACAAACATTAATAAGACCAGTGACAACACGTTGTAACTATTCAGTAAAATATGTCATGTTGGACTTTTGAACATTATTAAAAAACAACTTTGAATAAGTGTTGACTAAGCTGTAGCCAAGACTTAAGAAATACAGTCAAGTTTCAGTTATCATAAGTTTTCTGTATGCAGTGTTTAATTATTGCCCCAAATTTTGTTTTAAATACTGTCTCCTTTATTTCATTAACCATTATGTTTTGTTGTTGGCCCATAAACAGTCAATTGTAAGTAAATGTAGTCCAAAAATTAATGGAATCTGCCTACAAATTACCATTATGACTTAAAGGAACAGTGTGTAAGATTTAGGGGGATTTAGTGCCATCTAGTGGTGAGGAGTGCAGATTGCAACAAGCTGAAAGTTCTCACGGTTTGAATTCCTGCAGTGTTAATTTTCAGGAGGGTTTCACCTGGAGTTGAATCATCCAAAGAGGTGTCTTCCTTTCCAAAACAAACAGACCAGGGGCCGTATTCACGAAGCTTCCTAGTGCTAAGAGTTGCTCCTAGTGACGATGATCTTAGAAGATTCTTAGAATTGGAACGTTTTCTTAGAATTTCCCCTTAAAGTTAAGACTAGGTCCTTGTGAAGATTAAAGTTATTCACAGAGCATTATAGACATTAAAAGAGATCCTAAGGTATAAAACTGTTAGGAGTAGGGAGGAGGACTTTTAAGAGACTTTAGAGGTTGTTAAGCAGAGGAGAAAATGGTGGAAACACAAAGAGGTCGGAGAAATATTCTGGATGACAGTGAGTTAATTAAATGCCACAGATCAGATCGTGCAGGTATAATATGTGTGGTCGATCTCGTAAGGGGTATGCACACATTTCCCACCTAATGCTCTAATGCCAGAAATAAAATTATCACAACACTAAGATATTTGGAAATCTGGAAAAATGCAACAGTGCAGTAGTGATGACTTTGGTCTGTCTCAACCTTCCATCAGCAGAGTGATCACATGACATCAATGACATCACTTTTACAGGCAGCAGTTCATTTCATTTCCACTGAGTGTCCACACCTTGCAGGCTCACAAAAAGGGTGTGTCGCTGACAACCAGTCACATCTGTTCAAAGCAAGCATCACACCTAGCAACAGGTTCAATCACACCTTCGCACCTTCGTCGCTCTGAGAACTTTCCTAAATCACTCCTAAGCTAGGACTCCTTACTATAAGTTTTTAGGCTAAGTTAGGAGCTCTCTGAGAGGATTCTCAGAATGATTGTGAATACGGGCCCAGGTGATTCAAACAAATTAAAACACAGTTTTATGATTTATTTAAAAATCAGTGTTTCTCTGGAGCACCCACTAGCTTATCTGATAGAGCAGGCGCCCCATGTACAAAGACTGTGTCCTTGCCACTGTGGCAGCGGGCTTGTTTCGAACCCGCGGCCCTTTGGCGCATGTCATTCACCCTTTCTCTCTCCCCCATAACGCTATAGCTGTCCTGTCAAATAAATGCCAGAAGTCCCAAAAAATATCTTTTAAAAAACCCCCCAAAAAACAGTGTTTCTCCTACACTGTTCAGCACATTGCAGACGAACCGCCACTAGCCCAGCACCTGCTAATGCACCCTCAACTTTTTGCTCTGATAACTTAAGATCCAGACATTAAGGAGGTTTTTACCGGGAGCCGAATTATCCATGGAGGTCTCTTCCTCTCCAAAACAAATGGACCAACTAATTAAAACTGGCTAAAACACAGAGTAAAGCAGTTTCACAACGCAAATTGGTGTTTTTTCTGATGCTCTCCTTGCAGAGGGGCTGCTAACCACAGTGAACAACGTGAAAATGCAAAAATGCGGAAACACAAATGGCCATTTTTTAGAGCCAGTGTTTGGTTTGTCTGTTTTGGGCTTCTGTAGAAACATGGCAGTGCAACATGACGGACTCAATAGTTGAGGATCCAAACCCAATGTAGATATAAAAGGCTCATTGTAAGGTAACAGAAACACAACAATTCTTATTTAGAGGTGATTATACAGTAAAGAAAACATACTTATATTCCATTTCTGCCAATTTATCCCCCTAAATCATACAATCTGAACAATTCGTTTTTTAAATTATATAATGTAAATTCCCTCAAAGCAGCTATAATGTACAAATTCCAGACAACATGCAGAGAACATGACCCCAACATCCTTATTTATAGCCATGGCCCTGGTTAACTCAAAAAATCCTGTCCTTTTATAGTTTATAGATGCATATTTTTCTGACATGTCTGTACACACATGCATGCTTTGATCATTTACGC